CGTGACCCATAGTAAGGAGGAAAGTTAATTAATGAAACGGATTCCGAAGTGACCAAGAGGATGGTGGACAAAAATATTAAACCAATTGCTTAAACTATATTTCATGCATTCAAGAAGCTAGAGAAAACATGAAATATGAATATATTAAGTAGAAGAGACATGAAAGAGCTACAGAGATCCAAATAAAACTTGCAGAAATTTTAACTATAAGGTCTGAGATGAAAAATATACTGGGTGAAATTAATGGTAGAAGTAATGCCCAACATTTCTAAATTTGATGAAAGTGATAAATGCTGACATTCAAGAAGCTCAGCAAATCCTGAGCATAAGAAATATGGATAAAATTATAAGACATCACAATAAAGTTGCTTAAAACCAGTGATAAAGAGAAAATCTGAAAATTAGCTATTGGACAAAAGACCTTACGTCCAAAGCGCAGAGGATGGCAGTAGCTGTCACTGTCTCTCGTGGGAAATGATGCAAGCCAGAAGCTAGTGATACAACATCTTTTAAGCATTGAAGGCAAAACTCTGCCATGGCATTCAGAAGTCAGTGCCCACCAGAACTTTATTTTAAAAACAAGGGCGAAATGCTTTTTCCGACCTGCCAAAGTGAAAGCCTTCGTCACCAGCCTACCTACGTTACGAGAAATGTCTAGGAAAATCCTTAGGCATCCAACGATGACAAAAGGAAATCTGAACCTACAGGAAGGATTGAAGAGCACTGGCAATGGTGATTATTTGGAGAAAATACTTTTCTTGCTATTTAAATCTTTTAAAAACATAATCGAATATATAAAACAAAAATAACATATGAGGTTAAAGGTAATGACAATAGAAAGGGGAAAGAGAACATTGCAAAGTTTCTAATACTATACATGAATTAGTATAATACTTGAATTAGATTGTGACGAGTTAGTGCGTGCCCAAGATCCTGAGAGGAGAGTGGAGGAGAAGGGATTGCGGCATGGCCATACCCCCAGGGGATGATTTCTTGCTTTCTGTCTGTCTGTCTCTTTTTGTGGTGAGTGTACACACCCTATAGCAAAAATCTCTCCCCCCATAAAAGTGCTATAAAATAAGATTGTGATGATTTAAAAATGTTTCATATAAACTGAGCTACTAAACATATATAGTTCATTATCTAGCAAAGGAGATAAGATGGAATCATAAAAACAATTCAGTTAATACAAAAGAAGCCAAATGAAGTTGCTAAATAGAACAGAGAGCAAGATGGCTTGGCTATCAATAATCACATTAAATGTAAATTATACTAATACTTCACTTAAAGGCAGACAATGTGGGATTGGATAAATAAGCAAGAACCTATAAGAAGTCTACTTAAAATGTAAGTATACAAATGAGGCAAAAAAAAAAAAAAAAAGGATGAAGTAAGATTTACCATGATAACAATGATGAACGTTAAAGTGGCTCTGCAAACAAAGTATCAAAGTGGACTTCAGAGCAAAGAGTATTAACAGGAATAAAGAGGGTTCCATAGTGAAGAGATTAATCACGAGGATGTACCTAGTAATAACTTCAAAATCCTCAGCAAGAAATGCAAGAAAAACAAGACAAATTCATACTTATAGTCAGAGACTTCATCTTTCTCTCAATAACTGATCGAGCAACAGAAAGATCCTCAATAAGGATACCAGTATCTTAGGCCACCCAGCAAATAGCAGAATACACATTCTTTTGAAATAAGAATGGATTGGAAAGCAAGCCTCAATAAATTTAAAAGGATTCTAGTCAGGCAATGTATGTGCTCTGACCACAATGGAATTTTAATTGGAAATTTAACAAAACTATCTAGGACATTTCTGAATATTGGAAAGCTCACATTTCTAACCCTAGATCAAAGAGAAATTAATAGGAAATTACAAAGTATCATGTACTGGATGAGAATGAAACACAGCATATCAAAATTTTGGGGATGCTGCTAAAGAAGTGTGTGTGTGTGTGTGTGTGTGTGTGTGTGTGTGTGTATAAATAGTGGTGTCCCACATGGTTGACATGCTAGTTCGAGTCCTGGACCTGGCAGGTTGAAAAATGCAGAGTTTGTGTACACACATGTGCCCAAAATTTTGAGAGAAGGGATTGTAGAGAGGCCTTCCCCCTGGGGTGCCTTCTCTCTCTCTCTCTCTCTCTCTCTCTCTCTCTCTCTCTGAGTGCATGCAACATATAGCAAAAGCTTATATAAATAAATAGATAAGCAAACAAACAAACTTATAGCACCAAATACTTGTTTTGGAAAAGAAAAAAGATCTCAGTTCAATGACCTTGATCTCTACCTTAAGAAATCAGAAGGAGAGGCCAGCAGGTGGCATGGTGGTTAAGGGTGCTGGACTCCCACATGACCAACCGTGGTTCGAGTCCTGGACCTGGTGGCTTACTTTCTCACTTACCCTCTCTCTATCGCTCAGTCTCTCTCTGATCAAACTAAAATAAATAAGTAAATACAGTTAAATAAAAAAAAAAGAAATCAGAAAGAAAGGAAGCAAATTAAAACTGTGTAAGTAGAAGGGAAACAGTAAAGATAGGAGTAGAAACCAATAAAATAAGGGAAAAAATTAGAATAAATAATAAAATCCAAGGGCCGGCTATTAGAAGAGCAGTCAGATATTTAGCCAGAATGGTCAGATAAAAAGAGGGTCCAAATATCAGGAATGAGAGGCGTCACCACTTCAGATCTTAGACATTTAAAAGATAATAAATACTATAAACATTTTTATCCCAGTAAATTCAAGAAGCTAGATGAAATGGACTTAGTCTTTGAAAGGAAGGGATACACTACCACAAGTCACTTGAGGAAAAAAAAAATAGACTATATGTATATAAATGAGAAATAATACTGTATATATAAGATAAATTTATAATAAACTTTACATCAAAGAAAACTCTAGGCCTAGATGGATTAGTGACTTATTCCAGACTTTTAAGGAACAGATAACTGTTCTTTTTTTTTTCAAAATTATTTTTATTTAATTTATCCATTCATTTAATTTGTCTAGTGAGAAACACCAAAAGAAAGAGAGGGAAAGTGAGAAAGTAAGCCACCAGGTCCAGGACTCAAGCCGTGATCGATCATATGGGAGTGTCCAGCGCTTTAACCACCATACCACCCGCTGGTCCCTACCTGTTCTTTATGTACTATTCCAGAAAACTGAAGAGAAGAGAGTTCTTTCTAATTCATTGTATGAAGCCAGTCTTACTCTGAAACCAAAACCAGACAGACAGGAAAACTTCGGTCCAGTATCTCTCACGAGCATCAGTGTAGAAATTCTTAATAAAGTATTAGTAACTGAATGTAACAGTATATTAAAAGAATAAGGGGTCAGCAGGTGGCACGATGGTTAAGGTGCTAGACTCACACATGGCTGGCCATGGCTTGAATCTTGGACTTGATGGCTTCAAAAATCATGTGTGTGTCCCAAAATCCTGAGAGGAGAATGGAAGAGAAGGGATTGCAGCATGGCCATTCTTATAGGGAGTGATTTCTCACTTTCTCTCTCTCTCTCTCTCTCTCTCTCTCTCTCTCTTTCGTGTGAGCACAGGCACCCAGTGGTAAAAACCTAGGGGGAAAGAAGAATACAGTAGAGTTTTTTCCAGGAATGCAATGTTGATTTAACATTAGAAAATGAGTCTGTGTAATTCACCATATTGATACTTAAAAGGAAAAATTGTGACATCTAAATAGATGGGGAAAAAAAAAAACATTGAAAATGAAAGTCCATTCTTGATAAACACTTTTTACAAATAGAATAATGGGGAACTTTGTTGCCCTAACAAAGGACATCAGAATAATATCCTACAAATGACAGGATACTTGGTGATGGAAGAGTAAATGCTCTATACGGAAGTTCAGGAACAAGTCAAGAGTATCTTTCTCACCGTTCCCATCATTTTACTGGAGAGTCTAAGCAGTGCAATAAGGCCAGAAAAAGAAATGAAAGCCATCCACATCAAAAAGGAAGAAACTACATTTATTACCAAGTGAAAGGATTATGTAGAAAAAAGACTATGGGATCATAAAAGAACTATTAAATAAGAGGGTTTAGGGTGTCTCTAGGATATAAGGTAAGTAAGTACACAAAAATTATGACCCTATTTTTGTACTGTAAAAAAAAAGTATGCATCATTGAAAAATGTCCAGAAGAATGTGATTCCCTGTGGGTGATAAGCTCTCAAATTTTCTTTTTTCCTCCATCTTTTCTAATTTTTATGCAAATACTTATGCATGTGGCAATAACAGCAATAAAGGGCATTTTTTTTCTCTCCAGAAATAGTCTTAAACTCCATTGCACGACTGTTAACTGGGTTAATTTTAGATAAATATCACTATTTAGATCATTTACATTTATTTAAAATATATAGGATATTTACTTACATTCAATTAATGTTTTCCATTTTACCTGTTCATCAGCTGTGGCACCCTGCATGGCCTCCCTTCCTTCACCTGCAAACATAATGCATTGTACTCATACTTTATTGTTGTACGGGTACTGGGGAATCCATGGTGAAGTCTCACTGGCAGCTGAGCTCACACTCCTCTCCGTCCTCACCTCTTGCTGTTCTCTCTCTGCTTGCCGTGTTCCAGCCGTGCGAGGCTCTGCCCTCAGGCCCAAAGCCCTGGAAAGCCCATTCGTTCTCGTGGCCTCACACAGGCGGTTTCGTCAGAAACGCTCTCACGCCACCCCACCTCGCTCCATACCCTTTACTTAGTAGGTAGCTTTGTTATCATTTCCTCAGGGAGACTTGCTACCATTTTATTTCAGACTTTTTTGTCATCTCTGGACTGAAATCTCTCTTACGGTAGTTTTTCCATCACGGGTCTGTTCTGAGTTGTTCTACAGAGGGGCGCCTCAGTAAGTCTGTTAGTTCAGCCTGTGATAAAACAGTGGCCTCTGGTGAGGTTATCAGCACAGTCCTGTGGCCAGGATTGGATAGAGCATAGTAATTGTTGATATTGTACCTTAAACACAGCTCTTGAAATTTCAGGTAACGCAGGAAGAAGGACAGCAGTTGGCACGGCAACTTAAGGTAACATATATGGAGGCGTCAGCGAAGATTAGGATGAACGTAGATCAAGCTTTCCATGAACTTGTCCGGGTTATAAGGTAAACAGAGCACATCTAGAGGGCTGTTTCAATAAATTACATTAAGTATTTTTAATAAGAGAGAAATTGTACATAGGCGTGATCTTTTTTTAGGGATCCATTCACATGGTGTGTATGAAAATTGTAATTAAGAACATATTCACACACTTCTGATATATTAATTTTAATCATGGCAAAATAAGTACACAGGGATTTAAATTTTTTTTTAATTTTTTTAATTGCAGTGGTGGGGGGTATGTTGCCAGGGAGAGGGGGAGAGAGAGAACATATACACTCCCTAAGGGGGTATAGTCACATTGCAATCTTTTTTTCTATATCTCTCCATTCTATCAGGATGTTGGGTACACATGGACATGCACCCAACATGTGTTTTAAGCCCCCAGGGCTGGGATTAGAACAGTTGGCCATGTGGGATCTTTATGCCCAGCACTTAATTGCTATGTTGTGATGCTGGCCCACACCTAAGGATTTTGCGGAGTAAGTGTAGCTTCCGAAGGTGGTGGTGAGGTGAAGACAGTGACAATGGCAGCAGGCATTTGCGTGGTAATCTCCACCAGACACAGTGCTAAGTGCTTTTTGTGTATTTTTACATTCCGTTCTGTCACAACCCAGTAAGCTAAAGTCCTTTATCCTCACCTTCACATGAGAGAACGGAGGGACAGAGAAGTTAAATAACTTGCTGAAAGTTTAGATTATTAAGCGACAGCCAAAACTTAAATCCAAACCTCCGATTCCAGAGCCCGTGCTCTCAATTTTGCTCCTTACCCAGCTCTGCTGAGGCTGAGTAAGCCAGAGAGTAGAGATTCAAAAATCCCAGACTACCAAGAATTTTTCTGTTAAGTGGCCTAGGAGGCACCTGTGGTTTAGAAAGTGTTAATGGGTTCCAAGAAGCTTGAGGTGGTGGGCGAGGTCTATATTTGCATGTGAGAAAGATTCAGTTACTTCCGTGGGCGGTTGGACTTGATTATTTTGAGTCTTGGAGGCCTGGGCCCTATGTCACTGTGTCACCCACTGCTTTTTAGATCCCGTGTTTGGGATTCTCCGCTAGTTAGCTAGCTAGGCAGTCATGTGAGGTGCTCTTGTTCATTGTGTATCTAAGGTGAGTTGACACCTGAGCTGTAATCTTACCTTGATCGACCCTTGCCAGTGCTTTCTCTTCGTGGAGGGAAAAAAAAGTGAAGGTTATAGGTTTTTGTTTTCAGTAGTTTGCTAAAAATCCCAGTCTCATTGTTGCTTAATGGGTATAGAATTTAGTTTTACAAGATGAGAACGAGTTCTGGAGAGTGGTGGAGGTGATGGGTGTATAACAGTGTGAATGTACTTAATGCTACTACTGAACTATATACTTAAAAATGGTTAGGGTGGACCCATTCAAGGCCCATTTTAGTTTCTTTTTTTTTTTTTAAGAATTATTTTATTTAACTTTATTTATTTGTTTATTTTAATTTGACCAGAGAGGGACAGAGTGATAGAGAGAGGGAGAGAGGGAAACTGAGAAAGCAAGCTGCCAGGTCCAGGACTTGAACTGCTGTCAGCCATGTGGGAGTCCAGTGCCTTTACCATACCACCTGCTGGCCCCGCCCATTTTAGTTTTACGCAACTGGTGAACCCATGCCTGCTTAAAACAATTATAATTGCTATTTTGAAATATGTGTCCTTTGTTTTGATCTAGAGAACCTATCCAAATCCATCTGTCAGTCAAAAGTGAACAGGAGGTAGAGGTTGGTTTTCTCTCAGCCAGGCATTACTAGATATATGTAATACCACAGACTTTAGTCCGTATAGCAACTCTAAAAGGTAGGCTTTTATTCTTAAAAAATGAGGCTCAGAGGTTACCAGCAGTTAGCATAAATGGCTATGTCGCTGAACTCCCATGTAGTCGACCGCGGTTCAGGTCCCGGACCTGGTGGCTTAAAGTCACCCCAGGTGCGTGTGCGTGCATGCCCAAGATACCAAGGAGAATGGAGGAGGAGGAGTTGCAGCGTGACCATCCCCCCTGGGAGGGTGATTTCAAACTGACTTTTAATACGTGGTAGAACCAATTTTGCATTCTAGTAGTCAGTGTTCATTCTTAAATACACCGTAGAGGCCTGGAATTTCAAACTGGGTAGGAGGCTTAAAGGTTATCAAGTCCAGCATCTCATCCGATTCAGAACTCACCCAGTAAAGCAACTCGAGACAGCTCTGCTTATGCTAGGGTTGAAGGTTTTTTTGTTTTTTTTTTTTAAAGCAAATATCTGCTTTGATCCCTAGTTGAAGTTTTAACATTAAAAAGTATATGCACTTAAAGTAGACGTGCCCTAAAATAACCTGCATATGTAGTAGTAGATTACCAAGAAGGCAATTATATTTAGATTTTTCTGTCTTACAGG